AGGGTTACCGCGGCTAATGTTGCGCCGAGACGCAATTCGCCGTGACTCGCTTAGGTTCAATGCCATGTTGACTATCTGGGTTGAGTCGACGTCCAGGGCAGCACCAGGCTGTGACGCGTGCGCTCTACGGCCTCGCCTTTGCGCTTCATTCCTCTTTGTTATATGCAACTCCTCCTGAGATGTATCTGGCGACACGACGCGAGCTCGAGGACCGCTACCGGAGCTAATCCCAAGACCTAGGCCCCTTGTGCCATTGGATAAATATGGTTCTTGAACATCCTTCCCCTTATGTCGAGATTTACTTCTTTGTGCCCGGCGTTGGTTTCCGGAGTCGTCATCTGTGGCCACGGGCTCCTGAAGCAAGAATGCACTGCTCGGTTGGGTCTTATGCGGTCGCTTCGAACGGGCTCGTTTCGGCCGGCCGGCTTGAAGGCCGCTGGGAACTGCTGCAGCTCCACGAGACTTGTGATGGTAGCGTGGAAGAGTTTCGTCATCGGAGAAAGCAAGAGGTCGTTCAGGGGATAGGGGAGCGTGGAGGAGAGCGCTCATGCTGGGTTCTCCTCTCTCGGCGGTGTCGTAGCTAAACCTCGTGGGAGGCTCCGGAGTAACTGGGCCATCCCGTCTCCCATATGCACTCAGCGACGAGGCAGCACGATGGTCGGCCATTGCGCCGTGGTATTTACATACAACGACAGCAGCAGGGGCAGACTCTTAGGCTCGCGCTCGAAGGAGAAGCGGGGAGTTGTCGTCAGTGTTGATGAATAAAGCAATATTGCAGCATGGTTTTTCTTCTTTTCAAGGGTCCTTGTCGATCTAATGTGCTAGATCCTGGTCAATATTGTTGTCCTTGGTGACGATGTATTCTGGGGAGCTAATCTTGTACCGATAATGACGGCAGCAATCGAGGTCGGAGTGGATGCCCGACAGGGGGAATCCGCCTCAAGAGCTCATCGCTCACTTTGAAGTGCACGGGAATACGTCGCAGTGATGATGCGTTGGACCAAAGATCTTCTTGTAAGTTGGTTAGGATGTTGCATTTGCGGAGCGTTAATGTCGAAAGGATTGGACATTAGCCGTAGGGGTCCTTGGGTCTATAGGACGTCACGGGAGTGGATGTGACCCGACGGGTGCTACAAGACACTAAAGCCACAGGCGGCAGGCAGGGCCCCGGGCCAGTTTTACGCCTTTCTCACCTATCCTAGGCACAAGCGTGGCGGGGAGTGACGCACGCGTGTCTTGATGTGGCACCTCATCTTATGTTGGAGTACAAGGTTTGAGGGGAAGCATACACCTTATCCCAAGTACCGGTTGTCTCAGGCCCGAACTGCCGATACTCATCACATGAAAAATAATTAACTCATTCGAAGCCAAGGTCTAAGTCAGGTTGCGGGAGCTGCTGAACACCTCGTAATGGCGGGGTTTCAGAGGCAGTCCCAATTCATAAATAGAGTCATGCGCTTGAGATTTGACTCAACTCTGGAATGGAATAGATCCTTAGACAGAACTCAAGGCCGGAATCTTTCAGCATTTTCTCATACGTTTCTTGTAGTGGCTGCTGTTGTCTAATTGATACAGATACTGTTCAAAAATAGAATCAGTAGTAAGATCAGTAATATCTTGATACCTAGTTTACACAAATACTATACACTTGTCATGACAAAGAGGGGTACATATCATCATACGTGCCATCCTTCTCTTACATCTTCTCTATGCACCGACAACCTCCTCACATCTGCCACATAGCGCGTCTTGCTTTGGCGCCATGTATCGCCAGCATCTGGGGCATTTTTCCTCCTTCGGGGGTAGCACATGCACATTGACCTTGGCATCTTGGATCTCGAACTTCTTTTGGAAAGCCCAAGCAGGATTTTCGGGGAGGGGTTCGTTGACTTGCACCGAAGACACAACAAATATGTCGTGAAGCTCGTCCATGTAACGCCCAAGAACAGCCGCCGCTTTTCCATCCTCGACTTCCAGATAGACTGCGCTCTGGAGAGAGCTGCCAAGCGCCTTGGCATTTCGCGCGTCCTCCAGTGTTGCCTTTACAGCGCCATGAACTTCTGTGATGATGGACTGATCCTTACGCACCACATCTTGAGGAAGCGTCAAACGCATAGGATCAACGAGAGGGTCATCATATAGATGGCGAGCTGGGCTTATCAAGGAACTGGTCGATGTTAGTAAATCGTAAACATCAGGGAGCACAGGATGATAACCCACGTGTCTTTGGTCATCCATTCAGGCCGGAACCACCAAGCCTCCTCAACAAGCATAGGAGTTATCGGTGCCAGCATGCGCAAAAGTCCGATCAAGATAGGCTCCAAGGCACCGCCGCCATCACCACAGTAGAGTCGGTCCTTCAGGGCTTCCAAGTAGAATGCGGACAAATCAGTTGCGACCCAGTGGTTAATTGTACTGACCGCTCTGTAAAACTCAAAATCGTTGTATGACTGCATGACCTCTGACATGGTATCGGAAAGTTGAACAAGTGCTATTTGGTCCAACTTAGTCAATGGGCGCTCACGGGCCTCTGGATAAATTGACCCGACAAGCATCCTGATGATGGTTCGATATTTGATCAGCGAAGCATTAACAGGTCTAAGAATATCTGGTCCTATAAGAACATCTGATGTGAAATCAGCGCTTGCTGCCCACAGTCGAACAGCATCTGGACCGAGAGGGTCAAGTTTCTGCCTGTAGCCTTTGGAGTAAGCCTGTGATAGAAGCCCTTTTATGACTTCGCTAGGGACAATCATATTGCCCTCGGACTTTGACATCTTCTTGCCTTTCCCATCGAGAGTGAATCCGTGAGTGACTAAAGTCTTAAAAGGAGCAGCAGCTTTTCCAGTCGACTCCTTTGATGTTTGCGTGGCAACATAAGTCAATAAGCTGGATTGGAACCATCCGCGGTGTTGGTCGGAACCTTCAAGGTAGACATCGGCAGGGCCCTCAGTTTCTGTCCATGAGCTGCCGCTATCAAACCAAACATCCATTGTATCAGTGCCTCGACGGTATTTGCCCTCCATGTTGGGTGGGATCCAAGCAGGTTCATCTGGGTCATCAGAGAACCAAGCAGACGAAGAACGCTCTTCCATAACCGAGATGATATGGTCGATTGTTTCTGTTGTCATGACAGCAGTTCCGTTCTCGTCATAGAGTGCAGGAATGGGAACTCCCCATGATCGCTGGCGAGAGATACACCATTCACTGCGACGTGTGATGAAAGCTTCGAGGCGGTTTCGACCACCCTTTGGAACAAACCGAACATCCTTCAGTGCTTCAAGGGCATCATTTTTGATACTACCAACATCAGCAAACCATTGAGCTGTAGCACGAGTCACCACAGGTCGCTTGGTTCGCCAATCGTAAGGGAAACTGTGCCGTTGTTTATGGCTTCCAAGTACATCGTCGCCCACTAATTCCAAGACAGCGTGACTTCCGCCATCCATGACGGAACTCGCTTTGGTGAGCTTCTCTGGATCGTCAGGGTAAGCTTCTTCAGTAAAGAAACCGCCATCGTCGATGGGAGCAAATGCTTCAATGCCGATTTTAGAGCACACTTCATAGTCGTCCCGGCCGTGGCCTGGGGCAATGTGAACCAGACCGGTACCAGAGGTAGAGGTAACGAAATCGGCAGTAATGATAGGCTGCAGCGGAGCAGATTGCCCCCGGAGTTTGTTCTTATACTCTAGACCTTTCAAGCTAGAGCCTGGAATAGAATGTACTACAACTTGAAAGTCGCCAAGGAAGCGCTTCACATTTCCAACACGGCTCGAAGCAACAAGATAGCCGTCATCACCAACCTGGAGGATCGAGTACTCAATTTGGTCGTGGATGGCAATAGCCCGGTTGGCAGGGAGGGTCCAGGGAGTGGTTGTCCAGATAGTTGCATACAGGTTTCCTTTGAAACCGGCAAGTTCAGGTATGGACGACCAGTCTGAAATAATAGGGAACCTTATATATGCGGCGGTAGAGACATGATCCTCTACGAATTGCAACTCTGCCTCAGCAAGCGCAGTCCGCGACGAAGGGGACCAGTAAACGGGTTTGTGTTTGCGGTAAATCAATCCTCGACGGACCATGTTTTGAAAAACGCGCAATTGCCTTATCTCATAATCTCGGTCCATCGTTGTCCACTTCTTTTCCCAGTCAGACATAACGGCGAGAGCCTGGAATCCCTTCATCTGGTCCACAACCGTCTTGGAAGCTAGCTTTCGTGCTGTGTTCCGGACTTCTACAGGAGTCAACCCCTTCGTCGAGTGCGATCCCAGTGCCTTCATTTCGATTGGGAGACCATGACAATCCCAGCCGGGTCGATATGTCACTCGTCGGCCTTGCTGCACTTTAACACGCACAATCATATCTTTAAGAATTTTGTTCATGGCATGGCCGACATGAAGCTCGCCATTGGCGTATGGGGGCCCATCATGGAGGGTAAATGGCTTCTCCTCAGGTCGATTCTGTGCTTGCCATGCGTATAAATCGTCGGTACATTGCTTGAGATAATTTGGTTCGAACTTAGAGGTCGGTCGAACACTGCGAGATCGACTGTGTTAGCTCCCCACGTTCCAAATTTGGAGGTTCTGCGAAGGGGGAAAACATACGGAAATCTCGACCGAGGCAACCTCAAGGACGACTTCCAGGATTGAAGCATGGTTGATCAAGAACCATTTCGCACTTAGTTAGGATGCTTTCGGTGTTGAAGTTAAACACGGCTAAGCAATGGGTTTTTTTTGGCGCTACTGGGCTGTTTAAGCGGTCGTTCAATTGAAGTTCCCTCCATCCAATCGCTTACACACCTAAGCTGCAAGGCTGACGCGGGGCATGATTCCAGACCTGCCCACGCGAACGTCCATGCCCGCGGGACTTTTAGCGTGTCGCGAGGCGATTTATAGTGGACAAGTACTCATTACATCACTAAAGCGACGCCATATCCAGCGTCATTCACGCTCCTTTCATTTACAACACTTCACGCTTTCACATATAGCGTCAAATATACGATGGCTCCGGTCCGACGATATCTGAGGATATCCAAGTACTCGGTCCTTGAGTGCCGGATTTATTTGGATAACCCTGCATTGGCCCAATCATGGCTTCTGAATCCTCGAAATCCAGTATTACCCAAGGTCATCGAGGCAATCCGTCCTTTGGTGCTTCCGAAGCTGCGTGAAGAGAAGGAAAGGATAAGAAAGAAGAGCAAGAAGAAGAGCATCAAAGACGTCATAGTATCAGGTATGTGTGTTGAGATCTATTTTTGTCTCTGTCAGTAGCTGATACCACTTAGACGAGTTTGAGGTCTCCATCTTCTTGACAGAGACGAGCACGAGACATTCTCTCCTTTACAAGACCAAACATTTCAGGGACAAGCTACCACCGAAACTCGAGTCCAACTCGTCCAAACTCATCGGTGAGACAGATAGTGTTCCCGTGGACGTTGAGGATGAATATCGTGCACCTGTCTTGCAAGAAGAAGACGATGATGAGGTGAGACTCGCCGATATCCCCGTTGCCGAAACAAAAGCACGGCGGAGTAAGCGCCAAAGAGGAATACAGGGCCCGGAGCAAAATAGCAACGATGAGGCATTTGAAGATGATGAAACAGCCTCGGCCGTCGAAATCGGTTCTGATACGGAGGCACCCCCACACAAGAGGCACAGAGCCCGGACGAACGACGGCCTTGATGGAAACGAAGACAAGAAGAAGCTAGCTATGGACGTCTCATATGAGGGATTTGCAATATACGGTCAGGTGCTGTGCCTTGTGGTCAAGAAAAGAGCAAACGCTGCAGCTAGCAGTGGTGGGGGTGGGAAAGCCCGGCCAGAAGGCCAGGCCACGATGGAGAATTGGATTTCTTCTACGCAAGTGCCTGTTGGGGAGGACATTCCATAAGCGAGACCAAAAGTGTGACCAAAGCAGTCAAGGGGCCTCCTACGCTTATGCTATTCTTGCCGGAGTCTTTTTATTGCTTAGGTTTGGGGTCTTGAATCTTCGTGCTTCTCTGGCTGGCCCGAATGGCCTGACAATTTGATGTTAGGTCGATGAGGGTCGATCGAATACCGGGGTTTGACAGACGGGAACTGCGGATACGGCCGTCGGGTGCCTGTGGGTGTTCGGGCTGCCTTCGGGCAGCGGGAGGAGACAGGCTACCAATGAATTTATTAGGCACTCAATGCCTGGTGTATCATTCGCTGATCACAGTCTGCTGTCCAACTTGTCACGTCAGTCAACTCATCAGTCTAATCTGGCGAGGTGCGATTTACTTCAAGGTATGGATGATCAATCACATAGATAATGGCTTGGATATTCAATTAGGCGAGAATAGCATCATTGCTACTCCGTACAGCCCACACCACCATTGACAACGGGCCTCGATGTTTCTTGGCGTCAGTCTCGCACGGGTCCTGTCTCCAGCTTGGCACGGCGACGATGATCTGGAGTTGACAAGCAGACGAACACCAGGCCCCTACCATGAGCCCCGTTATGAAGCTGGTTTGGTGTTCTGCATGGTTGCAGCCGTGAACCTGGAGCAGCGCAGTGTGGATGAGGAATATCGGGTCTTGGCAAGTTTGCATGTCTCAGAGTGATATGACAAGAGGAAATCTAAAAGCCCGACGTCCGGAGGAGATACTCCCATGGAGGAGTTTCGTGTATATCCCGCACTTGATCCTCTTATTTGTGTATCATCAGACTGACCCCGGTACCGTTGGGTGGCATAATGGGTCTCAAGAGCGAGAATGAGGCCTTTTTGATATGGAATCCCAGTTTCGAAACTATTCGGTAGATCCTCGATGATAGGTGTACGTAAGTGTCAAATTTTTTTGGAGGTTGTAATGGGCGTGAAAGCGAAATTCCATCTGTAAGTCCTTGGTCCAGCAGGTCTGGAAAAGCCGGATGGTTGCGGACCATTACATTGCCGGCATGCGGCGTTGTGACCCTACCGGTTGGTCACAAATGAGTGTCCAAGCTAGCCAAGTTATTATGATATATTTGACAGTGTCAAGATATAACCTCTGAACGGAGCTTCAATCAGCTGTCATGGTTTATTGTGAATGTCTCAGATGTTCCGGTGAGGCTTGATTGGAAATTGAAATGTATTTGGCGCCCTTTATTATCCATGTCAGCCTTTCACCCTTCTCTATGCGTCTGGCTGAAGTTGGCCATGTCGAGACCCGGGAGCTTCGATATGAGCCCGGCACTTTGCAAGTTGATCGATATCTCCACTTAGAGATGCCCAATATAGGGACGGAAACTTTCGTTCAAGTTTGAGGTTCGGACTACGTTAGTCCACCCAGCATGTCGTGATCGGCACTTACCAAGGAGAGGCAGTGTACATAAATCACGAATTGTTCATTACAAGATTGAGGTGTACGGAATATGATTTGTGATAAATTGATCCAGGCTGAGCTGATAAAACAGCCGTTAAGGGGAGTCGTTTTTGCAGTTGATGAATGTCGCGGATACGGATACGTTGCCTTGAGATGGATGTACTATTGCCTTACGCGTCTTAATGGCTTGGATTATACCGTAAATATGACAGCCTGATATACACGAGCTCTCGAGACTCGGGGCCGGACGCTTCGCCGAGGACAAGACACGGCAGCATCGGAATTTGGGTCACAAGATGCTCAATCATCATCATCATTCATCATCAATCATCATTGTCATGTTCTTGACCCCCTGGTACCTTGTGCCTGTGCCTTGTGCCTGTCTGTGCCTTGTGCCTTGGGTGGAGGGGGGGTTCAGTGATGAGGTTGGTGGTTTTAGCACGAAGTTGCGGTATGAACCGGCACCAGCACAGAAATTCTCTCTATTTGAGTTTTGTGAGCGAGTACAATCTGTTTCTAAATGGAGGATGACTGTACCAAAGTCTAGGTTGGCGTCTCAGACAGAACAATGAAGGCGGATGGATGACATGCCTCGCGCAACTAAACACTAGCAGCGAGTAACCCCACAACCACAGACACAGAAGAAGCAAGGGTCATGGAGAATACTCAAAGTCAATTCGATGAAACACATGAACTCGGTGAGTAGGCAGCCAGCCGTTTGGTCTCATGACGATGACGAGGGATACTTTGGGTACAAGTGGTGTTTGTACTTTTGGGCTTGGGAGACCATGAGGCCATTCTCCTTTACGATGACATGGATATTACAGTTTGTTTGCTAATTCCTTGCATTCGGTATCCATGCATGTCTGCATGTACATATATGCAGATGCATGCATGCATGTTTGTTCTGTTCTTGGCTTGTAGACACGCCTCCACCATTGCAACTTCACTGCCTGCCTCCGGTACAGCGGCACGATATGTACGCAATTCCTCATGGCATAAACATCAGCAGTGAGTGAGTGAGATTGTGATTATCAACTCACCAGCGTGCGTGGGCCCTTTCAAGCCCCTCCCTCTTCCGGCCTATTACCTCTCAGCCGGAGCTGATACACACGCTGTCGTGGCATCACTGAATGGTGCTGACAGACATGCTCGTGCGTGCTGATACTGCCCTCGCTATCATTGTATCGCTTCCATTTCCCCATATGGAGATCTGCTGCTCAGGCCGTGCATTCGAAACATCATCTTTCGATTCCTGGTATTTGCACGTCTCAGCTTTGAACAAGACAATCCCATCGCTGTGGCAGGCATCACACCTACTCTGACTGCTGTGCCACTGTTAGTTTCTAGTTTCTGGTTCGGTAGACACACCATAATAGTTTCACCATCCTCATGTCCTACCTTGTACGCTTCTGCCTTGTAATACTGTTCCCTTGCCTGTTCTGCTCTGCGGCATGCCGATTACTATTACTGATGCTGAATTTCCCCTCATCCGCCCCCACGATAACTCCGTCCTTATGCCCATGTCAGCTAGTCACGCTCGAAGATGACTTTGGCTGCCGACCATTCGCTACCAGGATCTGATTGAGTTATGAGCCAATGATGATCCCAACTCTGATCTTCTCCTCCTACAGAACCGTTGCAGATTTTACCGTTGGGGCCGCACCCGTTCCAAGATATGCTCACACTAGTTGAACTCACGGCTCACTGCAGTACCTAATGCTGGTCCAGGAGGATTCGACAACTCAGCAGAATACATGCATACTTCGCCGGGTTTTTGCTTGCGAATATTGTCCCGTGACTATTTTGTGCAGGTTTTAGACCAATGATCCATCCTTTAGTTTCGTTTATGGCCATTGTTAGTGGCCGCCCGATCACCACCAACCATATCAACGAACGACACGTCTTGCATTGATCTCGATCTTCATCTTTTTATGGTTGACCGCTTCTTCGACTAACCCATCTTTTCCTCAATAAACAACACTAGACTGCACTACACGACGGTATAGTTCGAACAGGCCGTGGGAAATGACGCCGAGTTGAGGGAAGACGCGTATAGGGTAGAGCAAAGTGTTTCAAAGATATGCATACGCCTTATTGTATCACCCGCTAAACAAAGGCCAGGAATTAATCAGACGAGCCAGATACAGTAGTTTGAGACTAGCTCATCGCAGCCTTTTTATCGTCAGTCATCATATGTTGATGTTCATCGATAGACCAGGTCATGACATGGACATGGATGTGTTCTCGTCCTACACCAACAACCCCACGATCTGCAACACATCAAGTTACATCCGCTCTGTAGACGTCCTGTCATTTCTCCGCCACAAATAATACCAAGGCGCATCTCTCGCCAATTCCCGTATCTATCTCCGAGGTCCTGATGTCCCTAAGAATGCAGGCAAGAATAGCACGTAGACCCTCAAACCTGAACACCTAACAAAATGTCGCAGGTTGTTGATCGACAACATATCTAGGACCCGCTGCGGGCCGATCTGATACAGAGTAGCTAGCAGACATACCCTGTCTCTCGAAGTCGAAGCTCCCTGCAATCTATCATCCATAGCAAGGCGCATGTCTGAGTCAAAGCCAAGGACGATCATGTGTACATGCTTCAGATGCTCAACCAACAGATATACCCTGACGCCTGATAACTTCTATAGCTAGATGTCGATCATGATATGATGATCTAACAGTACGCCCATGTTCGTAACCAACAGAGAACTGGAGAATCATAAGCGCATTATGCAAGCTGACGTCTGCAGAGCGGTATTTTGAACATTGCAACTGCAAAGCTTCACAACAGTGCCTAGACTTTGCTCGATGGATGTAACGAAAAACGCCGAGCTCTCCGCCTCTTCAGTGTCCGCATGGTGTATCACTCCTTCAGGTTGACATGAAGGGTCCTTGCGATTAAGCACGTTGCCTAAAGCGATAGGGCCGCAGGTAGAGCGGCCATGCCCCCCTAGAGGCCAAGATATGTAGGCGTCACCACTCACGGAAAGGACTGCGAACCGAGTCCTGAACCCAGGATTCTTTCGCATATTCGCCGTACCCGTCTTGAATTCACCCCCAACTCCATTGTCTGGTGCGGTTGTACTTTAGAAATGCATATCTATGCACGCCGAGAGGGAATGCCTTGATCGGAGAGAGCATACCGTTACCAACGTGGAGATAGCTGCATGTTTGATGAGCAACTCGTGTTGACATGCAGCTCATGGCCCCATTACAAGGGACCGTGCCCGCTGATAACCTTGCGAATCATCACCACGTGCAGTTACGGAGGTTGCTTCTGGGTGGGAACTCATAACAACCTGCAGGATATAGGTGAGCCAAGAGATGATAGTAACCAAGGTGTCACGACAGCCAGAGGGAATATCACGCCCACATCACTGCACCTGGATAAGAAGCACGTAACTATACTCCGTATGTTACAAGTCCAAGCAGGTTGCTGAAATCCTTAATCCACATATCGATATCGAGGTTTATAGAGAAGGATAACGAATTCCGACGGAAACTTGTTTCACTCAGCACCATGTTTCATAGCGTGGGCGGAAAAACTTG